TGGAAGCGGGGGGTGGGGGCCCTGCCGGGTCGGACTCCTCCAGAAACTGAAAGATAAGAGGATATAAAAGCATGAAAAATGGTTATGGATACTGGAGACAGTGTGGGAAGAGGGTGGGAGAAGAAGGAGAATGTGGGGAAAGAAATTAAGGAGAAAAATAGGCAACACATTTATGGGACACAGAAATGGATTGTTGACTGTTAATAATATGTATAGTAGTCTCGACTGCTGTGAGGTGTATTTGTGTTGCATAAATTCACTTTACAAGCAAAGTGATATATAGTGATTGAATATATGAAATAAATTTAAATAAATAAATAAACAAATAATTTAAAAGTAGCTACATTGATATGAAATAAAATGGACTTCAAGACAAAATTATAAAAAGAGACAAAAAAATTCACTATGTAGTGATAAAGGGATCAATTCAGCAAGATGTACCAATTGTAGATATATATGCACCCAATACTGAAGTACCCAAAAGTATAAAATAAACATTACTAGACTTAAAAGGAAAGATAGCTTCTGATACAGTAATAGTTGTGGATTTGAACACCCACTCTCGGCACTGGAAAGACCATGTAGACAGAAAATCAATAAATAAACACAGGAGTTAAGCTGTATTATAGACCAAATGAACCAGACTGACATTTACAGAACATTTTATCCAACAGCTGTAGAATACACATTCTTCTCATCAGCATATGGAACATTCTTCAGAATAAACCATATGCCTCAAAAATTTTTTTAAAAATAGAAGTTATGTCAAGCATCTTTTCTGAGCACAACACAATAAAATTAAAAATCAACAAGAGGAACTGTGGAAAATATACAAATACATGGAAACTAAGTAACATGCTCCAGAATGACTATGCAGTCAATGAAGAAATAAAGAAACAAATTTTAAGGACCAGCAGATGACATAAAGTTTACATCACTGGACTCCCACGTAGTCCACTGTGGTTTGAGTCCTGGACCTGTTTGCTTAAAACTCATGCTGAGTGCATGTGCAAGCATGTCCGAAATTCCAAGAGGAGAATGGAGGAGAAGGAATTTAGACATGGTCATCCTCCTTGGGGGCGTGATTTCTTGCTTTCTGTCTCTCTGTCTCTCTCTGGCAAGCACACATGCCTTGTAGCAAAAATCTCTCTAAACACACACACACACAAACAAATGAAAAAAGAAACAAATTTTAAAATGTCTTGAAATAAATGGAGATGGATACACAATGTACCAAAACCTATGGGATACAGCATATTCATCTCAATCAATGAAGAGACATGTGTCTTCGATCCTACCTTGAGAGAAGTTTATAGCAAAAAAAAAAAGAGAGAGATTTTAAATAAGTAACCTAACAATGTGCTTCATGAAAGTAGAAACCAAGGACAAATCAAATCCAAAGTAGTAAAAGAAAATAAATAATAAAGATTAGAACAAAAATAAACTCTAGGGAGACCCCCAAAATACAAAAGATCAATGAAATCAGAGTTTTTTTAAATGTTAAAAATATGGAAAAACCATTAGGTAGACTAACAAAAAAAAAAAGGAGAACACTCAAATAAATAAAATTTAAAATATAAAGGAAAACATTATAACGAATATCACAGAAATACAAAAGGTCATTAGAGACTGTTATAAAAAACTTATACCTACAAACTGAAAAACCAAGAAGAGAAGGATAAATACCTAGGCACATATAATCTATCAAGAATGAACCAGAAAGAAGTCTGAACAGATTAATAATATGTAACAAGACTAAGTCAGTAATAAAAAGTCTCCCAACAAAGAAAAGCCCAGTATTAGATGGCTTTACTGAAAAATTCTACAAAACTTTTAAAGAATTAACACCAATTTTTATCAAACTATTCCAAAGGATTCAAGTGTAGGGGACTCCTTCCAAACTTGTTTTACAAAGTCAGCATTCTCCTGGTACCAAATATCAAACAAGGACACGATAACCAAAAATAAAACTACAGACCAATATCCTTTATGAACAACAGTACAAAGTCCTCAACAAAACACAGCAAATTCAAGAGCACATAAAGACCAATTAGGATTAATCCCAGTGATACAAAGATGGTTCAATATAGGTAAATCAATAAGCCTGATATGTCATATCAACAGAGTGAAAGATAAAAACTGTTTATTTGTCTCAATCAATGCAAAAAAATCATTTGATAAATTCAAACATTCAAACCCCCCCAACCCAGAGGACAGTCAAACAGGTTTCCTGAGGGAAGGAGTAAGAGATGGGACGAACCACTCAGTGTTACAACAAGGAGACGATGCAGTGTTACAACTCTTCAGGGTCATCCATTTATTGTGGGCAGCACGGAGATGACACAGTGTCACAGCTCTTCAGGGTCTTCCAGAGACTCCGGAGATGACACAGTGTTACAACTCTTCAGGGTCTTCACAGTCATCTGGCGATTGTGGGCCAGGGATTGTGGTTATATACATGTTGGTGGGCAATGATTGATTGAATGAAGGATTGTAAAAGGTAGGTTATGATTGGTTGCTTTTGTGGACAAATCATGAGGTGCCGGATATGCAAATCTGAGGGACTCTAAGCTCACCAATTTGCTATGGCAAGTGGCCAATCAGAGTATGGTTTTGAAGGTGAGGTTTTTGAAGGGGAGCCAATCATGGCCTTTATGGGAAGTGGCCAATCAGAGTATGGTTTCAAAGGTGAGGTTTTGAAGGGGAGCCAATCATGGCCTTTGGCATTGTGTAATTGTTTGCTCTCTGAGAAACCAGAGATATTCGCTAGTGCGCAGCCTCCCACATTTGGAGGCCAGACAGAGGCATAACAGCAATGCAACACTCTGTGAGGCTAACATGGGTAGGTTCTAGGTGCATATCTGGAGACCTCCCTGTACATGCCAGACACAAACATAGCCATGATCTGGGACTGGCTAAAGCTAGGGGTGGATCACAGCTAGGAGTCCCTATTAAGGGTGCTGCTCTCTCTCTCTGTCTCTCTTTCTCATGGGATAAATAAATAAGTAAAGCTAAAAAAAAAACAAACCTCTCTTTATGATAAAGATCTCACAGATTAGGTATAGAAAACACATTCCTCACATAATAAAGGCCATATATGACAAACCCATAGCTAACAATATACCGAGTGAGGAAATGTTGAATTTTTTTTCTTTTAAGAACTGGAATAAGACATGAATATTTATTTTTTTCCCACTCTAACACAGAACTGGAAGTCTTAGCTAGAGCAATTAGGCAAGAAAGAGAAATTAAGGGCATCTAAATTAGAAAAGAAAAAAAATTATCCTTGTTTGCAAATGACATGATCACATATATAGAAAAACCTAAAGTCTTCACCAGAAGCTTTGAGAACTGATACATGAATTCAGTAAAGTTGCAGAATACAAAATCAGCACACAAAAATCAGTAGACTTCTTGTACAAATTTTCTTTAAAAAGAAATAAAAAAAGTATTCCTGTTCATAATGGCCAGAAAAAAACCTTAGTATTTTTTAAAAAATAAAATAAATTTATCCATGAAGGTAAAAAAAAAATCTATGCAATAAAACTATAAAACACTGATGGAAGAAAATGAAGAACACACACACAAATGAAAAGGCATCCCATGTTCATGGATTGAAAAAAAATATTATTAAAATATCAGTCCAGTAAGTGGTTTGGTGGTTAAGGTGTTGGACTCCCACATGGCCAACTGCACTTTGAGTCCCATACTTGGCAGCTTGAGGATCATGCTGTCAGGTCACCCACATGTGTGGGTGAAGTCCCAAAATCCTGAGAGGAGAGTGGAGAAGAGGGCACTGAGGCTTGTCTATCCTCTTGAGGGGTGATGTCTCACTTTCCTTTTCACTTTCTCTATCTCCTTTTTCCATCAAGCACACATGCCCTAATGAAAAAAAAATCTTAAAAAAAAAAATGGTGCCAGGAAAACTAGATATTCACAGGCAGAAGGAAGAAACTACCACTGTCTCTTAGCATATACAAAAATCAGCCCAAAATGAAATAAAGACTTAAACATAAAACCTGACAGTGTGACATAAAATCTGACACTGTGAAATCACCATTATAAAAAATGTAGGGGACTGTTTGTACATGTAGCATACATAACATTCTCATGCCAGAGTGGTGACATGCAATGCAAGGAAACTAAGCTCCCACATCATAAGGAACTTTAGGTCACAGAAGTTTGGTGCACAGTCCTGGGAATCTAGTTTAAGCCAGTGTCTCAGGAAAAGCATTTGTTTTACAATGACCTGCTCTCCAATTGAGGCTCACTGCCATAGTCTTTAGACTCTGGGTGTTGAATTCTTGGTTTCTTGGTACCTGAAGGGTAAGACTTCCCTGAATGCTTATCTGATATCCAAAAAATAAACAACTTGTTAAACAGCCAGAGAAAGGACCAAAAAAGGCAAAAGTAAACCAGATTCTTAGCTGAAAAGGGATCTAGCCCTTTGACTCAAGCTCTTCAGCCAGCTTTTGACTTCATTTTACTTTAACCATGGCTTTGAAACTAAGTGTCCATCAGCTGATAAATGAATAAAGATGATAATGTGGTATACACGTGTATGTGTGTTTGTGTGTATGTGTACATATATGTGTGTATATATACACTGTACACCTATACACACATGTATACATACCTGCATATGTGTGTGCATATTCATACATACACACACATGTATATATCCGTATGTGTGCTTACACAGGGGCATAGGCGAGGGTGATGAGGACACAGACCAGGGAAGCAGGAGTCCTGGAAGCTGGCAGAGGCAGGACACCATCTCCTGAGCGCCTGAGAGGCCTGGAGCAGGGGAGAAGATGTGAATGTGGTCGTCGTCCTGGCGCTCCAGGGAAGGGTCAGGGGAGGCCAGCTGGCATTTGAAAGAAGAAAGTTCTGGAGGGAATAGTGAGTCCGGTACTCTGAGGGAGGCAGCCCGTTTGGCCAGCAGGGGGCACGGGGATGCAGTGACACTAGCGAGGAGAGAATGGGAGGTCGGGAGAGCTGAGAGCAGCAAGGGAACCCAGGCAGTGGGCCCTGACCAGTGAGCCTCTGAGAGCCTGGGGCTGCCAGGCTCCCCTGCTCAGGCAGATAACCAGCATCCTGCAGGTCCTCGAGCCTGCTTCAGCCGCACAGCCACTCCCTGGATCTCAGCACAGACTCTGGCCTGACCCCTGGGAGCACAGGACAGGGTGACCCAGGGCAGCGGCTATGCAAGGCGAGGTCAGGAGAGGCCTCCAAGGAGGGCGTGGGCTCCGCAGCCTCTGCCAGGGCGCCTTGGGCCTTTGGGCGAGCCGCCCCAGAGGCCAGGACCTGACTAATTGGCAGTGTGGGCCACCTGGCAGCGAGCGGGCGGAGTAATTGGGCCCAGGAGCCACCGAGCTCCAGCAGGAAAAGCCACAGCCGCTCCCCGCAGCGCCGCAGGCAGCCCACTCCTCAGAAGTCAGCGTGGCGGTCACCGCCAGCCGGGTTTCCCGGACACCGCGTCGCTGCTCCGCTCCTGCAGGCAGACCCCAGCCAGGTAGGAACCTAGGCGTCCGGGCAGTGGCAGTGTCGGACTCTGCTGTGGTCTCAGCGCAAGTTCGGTCCCCAGCATGCCGGCTGGTGGGTGCTCAGCGAAGTCCCTGTATCCCGTGCGCTGTGCTGAGTACTCCGCGAGCCGCCTGCTGGGTGGCAGCTGAGGGCACTGGGCTGAGCCTCACCCCACCTCCCCCAGCCTCAGCCTGCAGCCTACAGTGCTCTGGACAGAGCTGACATCTGCTCCCCGACAGCCACGGTCCATTCCAGGAGGTTCTGCCAGCAGGGAAGGAGGGCATCGGGCATCAGAGTGAATGAAGGCTGCAGCCGGCCGTGCTGAGGCCGGAGGTGCCCACAGGGGAGCAGCTACTACGGGTTCACCTCCTCAACCCCATAAAACCCGCTCGGGTGCAGCCGTCTTCCCTGTCCTTGCGGGCTTCCTCAAAGGCCCCAGTGTGGTTTGCTCACCTGCTCAGATGCCCTCCCTCGCACCTTGGAAGCCTTCGCTCGCTATGAGAATCCTGGGCTCCCTCCAACAACTTGCCTTTCAGTCTGCAGAGAAGCCGGAGGTGGTGGCGAGTTACAACAGCGGTCTCAAAGCAGTGTGGGATCTGGGCGGAAACAGGAAAAGGAAGCAGACTACCACAGCTGGCAGAGGGGTGCTCCAGAGCTCTCCCGCTAGGCCCATGTGGAAGGTCCTGGCCTCCCTTCTGAGGTCCTCTGTGCACGCCAAGTGCTGGGCGCCACTGGTGTGCCCAGGACCCAGGCTGGCAGCATGGGGACCCCGTGGGTGCTTATCGCTCTCTCCCTGTCTCGCTCATGAAAGAGCAATGAGGAACCTTTAAAAATATCAGGGAAGCTGCATGTTATGAGAAAATATGCTCAGATGTCAGAATATGCACCCAAAATAGCTCCCACTCTAGCTTTCCATAACATTTAGAAGTTCTCTTGTGAAATAAACGGGAAGAAAACCCACACATAGAGCAGGAAATAAGAAGCCAAACGGAGAAGATGCATGAGCAGTCAGCGGTGCAGCCGGAGCTGGCAGGCCTCCGGGCCCTCGTTCTGACCGGCACAGCCCAGCCCTGCGAGGGTTGCTCAGCGCGAGCTCGGTGAAGGGCTCTGAGAACTGTGCCAGCTTGGCAACTTTGCTGTAAGTCTGAGCTCTTCCCAAGGCGGGTGCTTGTCTGTGGAAAGTGCAGTCCTGTCTCAGATCAGGGATGGCAGCTGCATGTTCTGAAGGACCTAGAACCGTGTTTCCTGCTTTTTACGTTGAGCCAGCCAGCACGGTACTAACCGGCCTAACCGCCGGCTAGCTAAAGAGCAGCCACCGCTCCCCATGTTCTGAGCCATCAGTGAGACCTGCAGGGTCTCCACCATCCTGGGGTAGGAGCACAGGGCCAGAGCCCCACAAGGCCAGAGCCCCAGGCAAGCCCAGTGGCAGGGGAACCCCTGGCCTTTTGTGAGAGCCCCAGCAGGCCCCATCGGCAGGGAGTTTCCTGACCTTCTGTGAGCTCCCAGCAGGCCCAGTCGGCAGGGGGCTCTCTGGCCTCCTGCGGGCCCCCAGAGGCCCTCCCTATGGGCTTTCTTGTCCTCTGTGGCCACTCGGCTTGGAGAAGGGCTCGGTCACCTCAGGATGGTGTCCAGAGAGGCAGCATCCCAGATCAGATCCCTGGACCTCTTTGACAGCGGGGCCGTCACTGCTTTCACACTGGAGGAGGTGGGGGTTGATGAGTTTTGGAGCAGGCAGTAAATGCCCAGACCCAGCGTGCCCCTCTGCCGGGGTCCCTGAGGTGGGCTGGTCTGAACGCAGGCAGCGCTCGCCCTGGCCATTCCTGTGTGTCGTCCTCAGTTTGTGTCTGCCCTGCCAGCGTGTTTCAGTCTCACCGCCACCTCTGAGGGAGGTGCTCGAGCTGTCCTCACTGCACACCAGCGCTGCTCTCAATTCTCTTCTCCAGCCAGGAGCCCAGGCCCTGGCTGAGATCTGCTTCCTTCTGATCTTCGACCCAGCCTCCCTTCCAAGAGCAGAGCCGAGATGAGAGAGGGTGCAGCCAGACAGCCTGGCACTCACGCCAGACCATCACGGTGCCCAGCTCGACTGTCCCTGCAGGCCACTCTGCCCCTTCCTTGCTAACTCTGAAGCCCCTCAAGGGACCTGACCAACCTGCACCCCTCTGAGCTTGCAGGAGTGCCCCTCCTACCATTCTTGCTGCTCTGCACCTCACTGCATGTTTCCTGAGAGCTGTGGCCTGGCTGTTTCTCCATCTCTGCGAGACCAGCCTCGTTATGGCTCTTCACCAGCTTCCCTGTGCTCAGGCCACCATAGCTGTCTTCTCCAGCCAGGAAAGGCATGAATGTCTGTGTGACTGTGTGTGTGTGAATATGAATATGGGAGTGTGAGCAAGCATGTTAAAAGGTGTGCATTTATGAATGTACAGGGTATATGCATGTCTGTACAGGTGTGCAAGGGTATGTGAGCATGTGTGTGTGTACATGTGGTACACTGTGTGTGAGCATGTGTGTATCCATGTGGTCTCTGTGTGTGAACATGCATGTGTGTACATGTGGTGTGCGTGTGTGCATGTGTGTGTACATGTGGTGTGTATGTGTGGACACCCATGTGTTGGCAGAGGGTGAGTTGGGAACACCACAAAGATCAGGAGGGAGGACCCTCACTTCTCACTACCACAGACCCTAAAGGCCTCCCAGCTCACTCCTCAGGGACGTAGTGCCAACTCTCTGGGTGAACCAACTTGCCTCACCCATGGGGACATCCATGTTGGGACATCCTGGCAGAGATTGAGTGCCAGTCCAGCCAGAGAATCAGGGGGAAGAGTGAAATAAAATAAACAGCACAATGGCTCTCTGGGATTGAGGTGGCGGGTGTGGATGCCCAAGAGATCTGGAGAACCCGTGGCATGTGCTGATTGTAAAATAGGGCCCCAGACCTAAGAGCAGAGCAGAGGCCAGTCCTGGCTCCCATTACTGCAAACAGCCTCTCTGTGCACGTCCTAAGCTGCTCTCCCTCAGCACGGCCTCCCTTCCTCGCACCCCATTGTCACTGGATCTAGACACATCCACGAGACTTCTCCACTTTACCACCCGACGAGTGGATCATCGCTTTCCCCTGCTGCTCACGGAGCCAGGCATCCCGCCTTCGGCCAGATCCCCCCTCGTGGTCCAGCTCTGCCCTTCCCCTCCCCAGCCCCTGTCACCCCTCACTCGCTCACTGGTGTCTTGCAGGCCCGCAGCTCCCAAGCACACAAGGATGAGGGGGGAGAATGTCACCAAGGTCAGCGCCTTCATCCTGCTGGGCTTCCCCACGGCCCCCGCACTGCAGTACCTGCTCTTCCTCCTCTTCCTGCTCATCTACCTCTGTGTCCTGGTGGAGAACCTGGCCATCATCCTCACCGTCTGGGGCAGCACCCCTCTGCACAGGCCCATGTACTACTTCCTGGGCTCCCTGTCATCCCTGGAGATCTGGTACGTGTGCGACATCATCCCCAAGATGCTGGACGGCTTCCTCCTCCAGCGGAAGCGCATCTCCTTCATCGGGTGCATGACGCAGCTCTACTTCTTCAGCTCCCTGGTGTGCACCGAGTGCGTGCTCCTGGCCTGCATGGCCTACGACCGCTACGTGGCCATCTGCCACCCGCTGCGCTACCAGGTCATCGTGACCACGGGGCTGTGCTTGCAGCTGGTGGGCTTCTCCTTCCTGAGCGGCTTCACCATCTCCGTGATCAAGGTCTACTTTATCTCCAGCGCCACGTTCTGTGGCTCCAACGTCTTGAACCACTTCTTCTGTGACATCTCCCCCATCCTCAAGCTGGCCTGCACGGACTTCTCCACTGCAGAGCTGGTGGACTTCATCCTGGCCTTCCTCATCCTGGTGTTCCCGCTCCTGGCCACCGTGCTGTCCTATGGGCACATCACCCTGGCCGTCCTGCGCATCCCCTCGGCCACCGGCCGCTGGAAAGCCTTCTCCACCTGCGCCTCCCACCTCACTGTGGTCACTATCTTCTACATGGCCATGATCTTCATGTACGTCCGGCCCCAGGCCATCGATTCGAGGAGCTCCAACAAGCTCATCTCTGCTGTGTACACGGTCCTCACGCCAATGGTGAACCCCCTGATCTACTGCCTGAGGAACAAAGAATTCAAGGATGCCTTGAAAAAGGTCTTTGGCTTGGGTTCAGCTCCACAGTAAAACAATTAAGTGCCCTAGAATCTAAATTGCAGTGATAAAAACAAATCTTATATGACACTCCATGCTCATAAAAATCAGTTTTTTTAAGTGAATTACAACAATGGTAGGGAAAAACGCAGTGTCGAGCCTTCACCTACAAGTGTTTTCACAGAACTACACTCTCGTAACCAGCTCCCAGACTGAGAATCGCGAGCTTCCCCCATGTCCCTCGTAGCCATTATCCCTGATCCAAGGACACGACCGTCTTGCCTTCCGACGCCATGTACTAGTTTGGGTGTTTCGGAGAGTTTTGCAAATGCAGTCATGAAGTCTATGCACTTTCTTGTTCAGCTTCTTTCATTCGACACCATGCTTGGGTGATTCCTTGTTGTTTTTGTATGTCGCAGTGTTCATACTTTCTCATTTCCATATAAAAATTCCGACCAATATACACCCTAATACCTTCGTGCCTTTGGCTGTTGGTGAGCAGTGTGACGCGTGCTGTTTGCTGTGGATAACGCTGCTACAAGCATTCTGGCTCAGACCTTTCAATGAATAGGCATTGTACAGGCCATGAACTTAGGCTGGACCTCGTTACCTGTAGGCTACACTGATCACTGAAGCAGCATAAGGTACACATATGGTCTAGTTTCATAGACCCTGAAAAACCATCTTCCAAATCGGGTATACCAATTTTTACTCCCACCAGCAGGAGAGAATTCAGTAGCTTCATATACTGACCAACACTTAGTATTATAAGTGTTTTTCAACTTAGCCATCTTTCTGGACAAATGTTGTTGAATACCTTCTTAACCTTTACTGGCTTATTGTCCTTTGACTTATGCCTTTCCTGAAGTGCCCATTCAAGTCTTCTACCTGTTTTTATATGGAGTCTCTTTTTTCTTTTTGACATGACGAGTTCTTAAAGATTCTGGGTACAACTTGTTGGGTAGAAATATCACAGGGCTCTGAGTTTGCACACTTGCGTCTGTGTGTGTGTTTGTGTTAAGAGAGGGTCTCACTGCATTGCCCAGGCCACATCCAGCTCTCATTCCTCCTACCTCAGCTGGTCGTTAGGCTGGACCAGGAATTGAACCAGGCCTCACATGTGGTCCCAGCCTGCAGAGCCCATCACCCTAGCAGCATGAGTCACTGTGGCTGGGCCGTGGTGTCCTTTGATGAAAAAATCTATTATTTTGATGTCCAATGTGTACATTTTTCCCCCTTTAAAGTTAATTTTTAAATTTCCATGTAAGAAATGATCACCTTTTTTCAAGATCATGAACATTTTTGTTACATACAAGAAGCTTTAGTATTTTATTTTTCACATTTACATTTATACCCCATTTTATTTTTTAATTTTTTTAAGCACTTAACTGTCTTCTTTTTTAACATTTATTTTTTTTTAATTTTCATTTTCTTTTACACAGTCAATCAGATTATTTAGCTTACAATGTGAATATTTTAACATGTGAACATTTCGCCCTAGTCCAGTTGACCTATAAAATATCTTTAACAGGGACCAGCAGTTAGCATAATGGCTATGTTGCTGGACTCACGCCGGGCGCGTGTGTGTGCGTGCCCAAGATCCCGAGAGGACAACGGAGGAGAAGGGATTGCGGCGTGGCTATCCCCCCTAGGTGGTGATTTCTCGCTTTCTGTCTCTCTGTCTCTCTCTGTCTGTCTGGCGAGTGCACGCACCCTATAGCAAAAAGAAGAAGAAAAAAAACTTTAACAGAAATTGGCACATTTCTTTGTCCCCATTTTAAATTGACTTTATTTATCGTATGAGATATGGGTGAAAAGTCATTCTTTTCTATGTGGATATGAAATTGACCCAGCCCTGCACCCACCACTTCTTGGAAAAGTCACCCTTTGCCTCTGCAGTGTCCTTCTTCTCACACACAAAATGACTGTGTCTAAAAGATAATGTATGCTTCAACTGTCTCTATTCCATGTGTCTAGCTGCCTGTTTTTGGACCAACACCGTGCTGTCATAACCACCATAGCTTTTCCATATACCTCGGTGTTTCGTCCTTTCACCTTTGTCTTTTTGTTTTTTAATTTTTATTATTATTCTTATATCACATTTAATCACATACGTCTTTATAGCATATAAGATTTCTTCTTCCAGCACGATTACCATGTTTACCAGTCAACACAAACACATTACTATACACATCAGCAGCAGCAAATAGCTTTTCCTTTTTTGTCAATAAAGCATGCTTTTTTTTCTTTTTCTTCCCATTCCCCTCCTGCTCTCTATACTCATGCCCATATTACCCCTGTCTTTACTATCTCTAGTATCTGCCATTCCCTCCCGGCTACTATACCTTCCTAACTTTCAGTTTCTGCCATAGAGCACAGATAATCAGTATATATTGAATGGGGATATTCAAAGTCTGTTATTCATAGTCTGGCTGGCTTCGCGTAGCATGATGTCTTCCATATTCATCCACTTTGTATCAAATGTCAGGGTTTCTTTTTTATGGCTGAGTAGTATGTAAAGTACATATACCACATTTTTTCAATACAGTCATCTATTTTTGAACATGGGGGTTGATTCCATGTCATAGCGATTATAAATAATGCTGCAATAAACGTGAATGTGCAAGTGTTTTTCCGACTGAGGGTCTTTTTATCTTTTGGGTAAATACCTGAAAGCAGAGTCACTGGGTCATATGGTAGTTCTATTTGTAGATTTCTAAGGGCTCTATATCGTTCTCCAAAGTGGTTGTACTAATTTACATTCCCATGTAGGAATGGGAATGTAGGAGAGTTCCCTTTTCACCAAGCCTCACCAGCACTTATCATTATTTATCTCTTAATTTTAGCCATTCTGACTGGGGCTAAGTGGTATTTCATTGTGGTTTTGATTTGCAATTCCCTTATGATAAGAGATGTTGAGCATGTGCTCATATGCTTTTTGGCCATTTGTATGTCTTCTTCAGAATTGACTGTTCGGGTCCTTTTCCTATCTTTTAATCGGATTGATTATTTTTTTGTGGGTAAGCTGCTTGAGGTCCATGTATATTCTGTTTATCAGTCTCTTATCTGTATAATTTGCAAATATATTCTCCCACTCTGAGGGTTGTCTTCTCACTCTACTTATTATTTCTTTGGTTAAAGCTTCTTAGCCTAGCTTACGGCCAGGACCTTTGCTTATCCCCACCCCTACTCATCTCTGGACTTCAGGTTGGTTTCTTGGGACTTTAAGACAAACTTGTACCCCACCTGGAAACTGGTTCAAGCCAGCGAGCAGTTCCAGACACCAGGCTGCCTGTGGCTGCAGGTCCATCACTCATCCTCTGCTCCTTCCCTACTTGCCTTTGGACTCTCTGAATTTTAGTGTTTTGAATAGTGTGTGGTGCACAACACATGCTGTGCGATTTTTTTCTTTGCTCTTGAGGTGTTGCTTATTAGATCATTTGGAGGATCATCACTTCTTAGAAACAAGGAGGACTTTGGGTCACCCAGGACCAGTGACAACAGTACATGGTACTGATGAGCAACAGGTAGGCAAACCGTAAGAGAAATCACCAATTTTCTAATCCTGCACACCTTTTTTTTTTTTAGAGGTTTTTGCTATAGGGAGCGTGCGCTCGCAGAAAGACAGAGAGAGACAGAGAGACAGAAAGAGTGAAATCACCCCCAGAGGGGATGGCCACGCCGCAATTCCTTCTCCTCTATTCTCCTCTTGGGATCCTGGGCACGCATGCACATGCGCCCAGCGTGAGTTTAAGCCACCGGGTCCGGGACTCAAACCGCGGTCGGCTACATGGGAGTCCAGCGACATAGCCATTACACTAACTGCTTGTCCCAATCCTGCACACCTTTTAACATTCAGAGATACCTTAAATAAGTTAGGAAGCAACATATAGATTACTTGATGACTAGGAACAATCGCAGAGGCTCAAGAAGTGTGAGCAACCAACAAAAGGACTCTCTCCCAAGGGAAATAATCAAGCCTACATCACCCACTGTCAATACAATGGACATCATGGACATGTCTGATAAGGAATTCAGAATATTTGTAGTGACCAAACTAACTGAGATGGAAGAGAAAAGAGACAAGGAGCTCCAGGAGATGAGGAAGTCCTTTAATGACTTGAAAGAAGAAATGGATACCCTAAACAAGAACCAGATGGAACTTCTAGGTTTGAAGAATGTGATAGAGGAAATCAAAACCTCCCTTGAAAGCATTAAAAGTAGGTTAGACCAGGCAGAAGACCGAAACTCTAATGTAGAAGACAAAACATCTGACCTAGAAAAA